AACATTCACTGTAATATTTTAAAATTATGTTTATTGGTACAATTTAGATATACATAATGATCACATTCATTGTATGGAATTTGTATCTGTACATAATATATTTTAATTCCTATTTTTTTCCCATTCCCCTCTCCTCCCTTCATCCCTCTTTCCCTTCCTTATTTATAAAATGTTTGTTTCTATTTTATCTTTCTTTTCTCATTTCTTCCTTTTTCCATTTTGTCCGTTACCCTTCCCCACTCCTTTGTGCCCCTTCCCGTTTGAACTTTTTCTTCCCATTTCACATTATCTATTATACACTTTGATCCTTTTTTATACATTCAGTTTCTCACACCAGAGAAAAATGTGATATTTACACATGTGTTCAATTTATTTCACTTAAGAGTATGTCTTTAGGTGCATCCATTTAGCTATAAATGTCTCAAGTTTATTTTTCTTTATGGCTGAGTAATACTCCATTGTATAAAAAAAACACATCTTTATCTTTATCCACTTATTGGTTGATGGGGCATTTGGGTGGTTTCCAAGATTTTGCTATTACAAACTGTGCTGCTATGAACACAGGTGTGCATATATCATTGTGGCATGATGCTTTTAATTATTTTGGGAAGATACTAAGCAAGGGGATAGCTGTGTCAAACAAAACCTCTAGTCCTAGTTTTTTGAGGAATCCCCAAAACTCCATTAAAAGTATATGCAATTGTCTGAATCAAAATGAGGGCAGGATATCAGACCTAGAAAACAAGATTATGGTTAGGGACCATGAAAAGGAAGATTTCTTAAATATAGCAAAGGACTATGAAAAATCAGTGCAACAGCTGCAAGATGATGCAAAGAACAGCATAAGTTTGAGTGAAGTCAATGAGAGTGCAGGAACAAACACCATAAAAAACCTGTTCACAGAAGTAATGGCAGAAAGCTTCCCTAACATGAAAAGAGAATTTGACATACAAATAAGTGAGGCATGTAAATTCCAACTAGCCATGACCAAAATAAATCTACACCAAGGCATATAATAATCAAGATTCCAGAAACTCAGCACAAGAACTGAATATTAAAAGCTGTTAGAGAAAAGAAACAAATCACCTATGAAGGAAAGGCCATCAGAATCACAACAGACTTCTCACTGTAGTTTTGATACATCTCATATGTATTTTAATTATCTTTCCCATTCCATGACTTGGTTTTGTACCCTCTCATCCTCTCACCTTTGATTTAGAGGTCCCTATATGAGCAGCCAAATGTTTAACTCTTTTTAATTTTAATTTTAATTTAACTCCTAATTTTTTTCTTTTTTGGTCTTATTCAAGAAATCTTTCCCTACTCCTATCTCATTGAGACATTCTCTTGTTCTCTTTCTAGAACATTTATCATTTCAACTTTCACATTTAAATTAATTTTTCATCTGAAAATAAGTTTTATGTACAACGTGAACAGAGCCAAGTATCATTTAAATAAGCCAGTATCATTTTGAAGAGGAAAGAATTCTCTCTCACATCACTCTGCAGTACTGTTTTTCATTAACCAAGTGTCCATGTATGTTGGATTTGTTTCTTGACTCTATTCTCCTCCATTAATCTGGGTATCTATTTCTACACCAGTATCATATTGCCTTAAATAAGACAGTTTTATAATAAGTCCTGGCATCTGGTAGTGTAGACTTTTACTGTTATTCTCCTTCAAGGTTTGGCATTTCCATATTTTAGAATCATCTTGCAGTTTATACATGTACACACACATTGCTAGTATACTTGTGTGGATTGTACTGAAATTATCAATTTGGGGGAGAATTGATATGTTTACAAAGTTCTCTTTCAATCTATAAATATTTTAAAATTTATTTAGAACTTCTTAAATTTCAGATAAATTTTATAGTTTTATATGTAGCAGTCTTACATATAATTTGTTACTCTCATACCTTGTGTTTTATTTTATTTTATTTTATTTTTCACTTAAGCCTGCACATTTGTTTTAATAAATAGTTTTGAAAATATACTTCCATCAAATATAGGATTTCACATTTTTCCTAATCTTTTACTTATGGAAATATCAAATATGGAATATGTCTACCTACGTGTATGTGTTTTACAAGACACTCAGTCTCTGAACATCAGCATCCTGGTATTTATTTTGGTTTTATTGTCTTTCTTCTTGTTTGTATTGGTGCTGTGCCTTCTTTTATTTGCAAAATAAATGTTTGTACACTGAGTAAAAATCTGGATGAGAGCTGATATGTGAATTCCCATTACTTTTCATTTTAAGCACTTAAAAGAATAGGTATATTAATTTTCTGTTACTGGTTTACAAATCACCATAGATGTAGCATCTCAACACAGTGAGGATGTATTGTCATTGTTCCTGGGGGTCCAAAATCCATGTACAAATTCTCTAAGTTCTCTTTTCAGGGTCTCACAGATGGAAATTATGGTGTTGGCTTGGCTATGCTTCCTTCTGGATCAAGTGTGACTCTTCTCAACTCATATATCTTTCATAGAACTTAGTTCATTACAGATGTGGGGCTGTGACCTTCATTCTTTTGGTACCTGAACGCCAAGGGTCACCTTCTGTACTTAGAAGCCATTTACAATTTCTTTTTTTCTTTTCATTCCACTCTTTTTTTTTGGTTATATGGATTAGATTTGTACATGTAGATAATTTACTTTGATCATTTTCACTCTCTCATAATTCCACTTGTTCTTCCCTACCCTCTTGTTTCCATATTTTGTGAGGGTTTCCATGTGTAAATTTTGATCATGTTCATTCTCCCATTACTTGCCTTTATATC